GGCGAGATGAGCCGAGGCAGGCCAGCGCATGGGCGGGCCGCCTCTGTTCTCACACTGGGCCGCACGCTTGGTTGAACACTCTGCTGTCACTGTCTTGAAATTCTTAATTTTTGAACAAGGGGTCTGCATTTTCATTCTGCACTGGGCTCCATAAATTATGTATCTGTCCCTGGTTAGGGAGGTCGGCAAAAGAAAAGAATATTTGCATATAGAAATGTGGGGGCCTCTTGGCTGGTATTTGGTGAATGAAAGAAGGAAGGAAGGAAGGAAAAAAGGAAGGAAAGAATCTGTGCACACGTGTTCTTCTGCGGAGCTGCTGCTATGCGTAGCGTGTTCACACACTGACGTGGTCCCCCTTTGCCCCAAGGCCTGCAGGGCCTGCCTCATTTCCCAGGGGCCGCTGCCTGTGGGGCTTCCATGGGCTGTGTGCACCAGGCCTGAAGCAGCTCTGTGAACAGGTGACGCCAGGCTCATCCCAGGCCCCACTTTGGGAAACTGGGTGACTCCTCCACCCCAAGTAGAGGTAGCCTTATCTTGCCTGCAAGACCTGAGACTTCAGAGCCAGACAGACTTGAGTTCAAATCTGGCTTTGACACTCTTGACTAGTGGATGAAAATAACTGGACTTGGGCAGGTGATTTGCTTCTCTGTTCCTCAGTCCTTATCTGTAAAATGGGAGCCACTACTGAGAGTTGCTGAGAGGATTAAATAAATAAGATAATGAGAGGCAAGCTCTTGGCAGAGTTAGAGCTCCGTAAATATTTGCATTAATAATAATAATTATTATTGTCATGCAATCTCTGGAGACTTGGGTAAACATTTGCTTCTGCCTCTAAATGTCTGCATAATCGTGAACAAGTCACTTAATCCTCCTGGACCTCAGTTTCCTCCTCTGTCAAACCAGGTGATAACCATCTAACACATCTCTCAGCAGGGTGGTCGGGATGAGCTCACACAGTCACTGCGGAGCTTCTCTGTAAACCGATGTGAGTCGTTGGTACATTCCTGACTCCCGTCCCCCTATCCTGGGGCAGACTTTCTCCAACTCTTCCCACACAGAGAGAAAAGCACCCTTTGGTTCTCAGCAGAGCACAGAACAGTGCCCCTGGATTCCCAGCCCTGAGTTGCCTTCACGCTGGGAAGTCTGCCTGAGAGTGAACTTCAAGTTCAAGGTCAGTGGTTGGACAAGGAAGAGGAAGGTCCAACTTTCGTTGGGACGGGGAAGGGGGAGGATGAGCCAAGGGAGGACAAAGGAACTGAAACCCAAATCCCTGTGGCCTTGCTTCCTGCTTCCCTCTGGTCAGGAAACACCAGGAAAGTGGTGAGAATTAGTCTCTGACAAAGGGCCCAGCCAAGTCTCAAAGTGGGCAGAGTCCCCACTTCGTCTCCCATGTACATCCTTAAAGGCTGATTTGCAGGAGCCTCCAAAAGCCCTGAGCAGCACCAGCACCTGCCTGGGGAAGGTGCCCTCCCCCATGGGAGTACTTGCTGGAAGAACCTGGAAGGGAGGGCTGAAGGGGGCCTTGGCCATTCCTGAGTGAGGACCATGAGCTCTGGGGACAGAGGGCTGGTCCACATCTAGGTGTAGCCACTAACCAGCGATGTGACTGCAGGGCTACTTAACCTCTCTGTGCCTCATTTTTCTCATCTGAAACACAGAATAATAGTCACGTTCTGAGTGCTGCTGAGAGAACTAAGTGCTTTAAGGTTCTTGGCAAACCCTGGCACGTAGCGAGTGCTTTAGAAAGGTTAGTTGTTGTTGTTGTTGTTGTTATTATTTATTTTATTTATTTATTTTTTAGGCGAGGCGACCTTTAGTTGACCTCACAGATTGCTAGGACCTTGTCAGCTTACAAGGTCCCTTATTTTTTTATTTTTTATGCCTACAGCACCTGGTCTTCCTAGGTGGTCTCCCATCCAAGTACTAACCAGGCCCGACCCTGCTTAGCTTCTGAGATCAGACGGGATGGGGCTTGAGTTATTAATTCTTTAAAAAATGAGGCCACCCACTGAGTTGTGACAGAGTCTGTCAGATCTCCTGATAGACTAGTTCAAAGCCTTCCTCTATATTTTGCTGTATTTGGGGCTGGTAACAATCATTCATTCATTTGTTTATTCAATAAATATTTATGGACCATATTTATGGCAGCAAAGGGTGGCAGCTGAGGGTGGGGCAGGACCTGATTGGTTCCTGGAGGGGCATTTGAGCAAGAACTAACATTTATTCAGCACTAGCCATGGACTTAGCTTGTGTACACTTAGACTCCCACTACGCTGGAGATGGGTACCAGCCAGTTAACAGAGGAGGGAGCCCAGGTGAAGTCACAGACTCTTGTGCCACACAAGTGTCGCACAGTTGCCAAGTAGCATCCTCGGGACTCGAACCCAGGCCGGCCTCACTCCTAAAAATTTGTGATTTTTAACTTAATTTTAATTAAAATTTAATTTGAATTTTAATTTGTGATTAAAAATCTAGATTCTAGGTCTACCTTCCTGCTGCCCAGCCCCTCACCCCATACTTCCCACCCCAACTTTGGCAGAGCAAGATCCTAGAAGCCAAAGGTCGGACTGTTTTCTGTTGACCTTCATTGTAGGATCTTTGTCATTTCCTCCCTGATTCTCCTGACCATGCAGAATGGCCTTGGGGCTTTCCCCAGAGGGGAAACCCAGCCTAGAAACAGCTCAGCTTGGAAAATGTGGCTGTAGGGGACTCCTGATGTTTGTCTCCCTGGCTGCAGAGCATCTGGGTGCCTGGGAGCAGAGCAAGGTAGAGGATTCCCTGGATGGAGGCTGAGCTGATGATTCCCCAGCGGCCTTCCTCTGTCTCTGTAGCCTGAAACAGGGCACAGCCCCACTTTGGGCCTCAGTTAACCCCACCTGCAAAAAGTGGAACAGTAACAAAGCTCCAGCACCAGCCCTCTGCATGGCATTAGGGCTGGGAGTTTCCGTGTTGATGGCAGGTCTTCCTGCCCGCCTTTCCTCTTGGGCTCTCGTGAGGATAAAGTGGGACTGTGGCTACAAAAGGACTTTTAAATGGAATCTAGAGCTGGATAACACAGCAGATGCAGAGGCTGGTCATTGTTGACCGAGACCTTCCCCATCCAGCTCCAGCTTCTGCCTCACGTAGACTCCTGGCTGTGCTTAAGTCCCCTATTTCCTAGACCCTCTGTAGGACCTATGGGCCTGGGGCAAGGCGGAACTTGGGGCAAGGGCAAGGTTGGAACCAGAAAGTCCCTGGGTCTGGCACAAGCATCCCAAAGCCAAGAAATCAGCCTCCTGGATAGGGCACTGTCAGGCCTTCCCTCAGCCTCCCTGACATCTGCCATGTGCATTTTCCCCTTGGCTTCCCCTGCAGGCTGAGATGGGAAAGGGAGCTCAGGAGCAGGTAGAGAGCCCATAGCGAACCGGGAGGCATTCTTTGGGCTGAGCACAACACTCGCCTTGTGCCTAGCTTAAGAAACCCCTTCTGTTCTCAGGCCGCAGTTTCCCCATCTGCACCAGTCAAGGCAAACATTACATGACCTCAGAGAGCCTTTCTGACTCTTCCAGCCCCAAACGGTGGGTCTCTGATTTATGCCCTCCTCAGACATAACTTCCGCCCTCCGCACTACAGCCTGGAGCAAATGGAGACCAGTTCCGCCCTCAGGGGATTCCATCTGGGGTTTTAAACACACACCCCAGCTCCATCTGCTGCAGCGGCCCCAAGAGGCTCTGCACAGTGGACAGAAACCAGGGAGGCAGACTGGGACATGCTTCCTCCCCAACCTATATATATAGGGTGGTTTTTATAAAAAAAAAAAGGCTATGTTGCCCCCAGATCTTGTAGGGAAGATAGGCCATTTCCAAGCAGATGCTTTTGGAAACATCTTCCGAGAAGTTCTGCTTAGCTCTGGCCCAGGGGGGACACATAGCCCCTGTTGGGAAGCAAGAGGCAGTGAACGTGTTGTTCCTCCGCAAAACTGAGAGTGTGGTACAGAGGCTATGGCGAAGGCACTTGCCCAGGGCCACAGAGTTTGTTGGCAGCCTGCTTGTGCTTGAGCCCCCACTGCCAAATGACCCTTGCTGTGAGCTGGGCCTCTAAGGGGCACACTGGCAGACATGAGAAGCCCAGCACATCTGGTCAGAGACCCGAGGTGTATGACACACATCTGATCCTTCCATCACTCCACCCAAGTCACCCTCTGGACTGCACACCGCCTCCCCGGAGTGTGGACGGTGGGGCTTCCAGAGCAACAATTCAACATGGTCCCTTCTCATCCCAGAGGCCCAGGGGCTCCTTCCTGAGGCCTCAGCTCCATCCTGCCTTCTGAATCCGAAATCAGACTTCTGGACTGCAGCAGACACCTCCCCCTCCCTCACTTTTCTGCCTGGGCTGGTCATGGTGGTCCTTTTATACTCATTTAAAATTGAGAAAACTGAGGCTCAGAGAGGTGATCACACAGCTAATATGTGACAGAGTCAGGATTCAGACCCACACCTATCTGAAGTTCCCGAAACAGACCTCTTCCCACCAGTTTAAGGCTGCCATTTTGGCTTGTTCCATGATAAGGATGGGACGATGGAAGTGTGGGCCAAAGCATCCCTGGGCACGCTGTATGTGGGTGGTTCTGAATTAAACATGAGGATACAGAGAGGAATGAGACATAGTTTGTACCCCAAGGAGCCCGATGTGTCAGTGAGTGCTTCTCAAACTTCTGACCCAAGTACCCGCAGATGACTGAACATTCCCTTCAATGCCTCAAAGCCCTGGGGAAGCCTGTGCATTTGCCGCAAGTGAGAAATTTCTTGGAAGTGTCTACTTTTAGCTTACGATTCACGTGAATTGAGCGTGTTATGCCATAGGTCCCATATATATATATTGAACTCAAAGGCTGGAGAGTCACTTCCAGGCTTGTGCGCATGGATGGGTAGATGACGAGCTGGAGGGATGTCTGGCGAGACAGCTCCCCATGGCGAGGCCAGCACCCTGGGCACACAGGCACGCCCACCCCTGCTGCACTAGCTGGGCCAGATGGTGGGGCAGCTGAGGGGAGGGCTCCTTGCTCCCTCACACCCCAGGGGCCCTGCAAGGGACCTGGAGTTCTGTCCACACACACAAAATTGTGTGGGAAGAAGACTTATCCACAAGCAGACTCAGGGAAACATTCTTATCTGGTGGAATCACAGTTGTAGATTATAGAACCTTAATATGCTGTAGCATTCTAGAATCTCAGAGGCATGGCACCCTAGAATTTTAGAGAAGTGAGTCATAGATTTTAGGTTTCTAAACCATACGGCGCAGCGCCGTGGCCACTAGCCACATGTGGCTGTTGAACACTTGAAATGTGACTAGTCTGAATCGAGGTGTGGTGTAGGAGAAAAAACATACATAGCAGAGTTTGGAGACTTGACACAAAAGAATTTAAAACATCTCATTAATAATATCTTTATATTAATTACATGTCAAAATGATAACATTTGGGGTATATTGAGTTAATACAATATTAAAATTAACTTCACCTGTTTCTTTTTATGTTTTAAAACATGTCTACTAGAAAATTTAGAATTTTGTGCATGGCGTTTCAGAACTTTAACATGACAGAACTTTAGAACCAAATTCCCAGATCTTTATATCACTGACTTTGACTTTAGTTGCTCTGAGAGCCTAGAAGCATCTAAGAAGAGTTCTGGTCCTTCTCCCACCCAACGCAGGGGTCCTCAAGCCCACCCTGACCGGCGCTGACCAGCCTCTGCCTGTCCCTCCCCTGTCACCTGGTGGAGAACTCACTGCCCCTGAGTCTGCTGGGCTGTCCAGAAGGTTAGATTTCCCCTCGTCAGGTGGGATCTGTTTCCTGCAGCTTCTTTTACCCTCACGGTTGGTTCCCAGGGCACCTTTCAGGGCCTCTGAGAACAAGTCTGCCTCCTCCTCCCCATGGAAGGTGGGGAGTCTGGGTCCTGCCCTTCCCTCTCCCCGTCCTCAGGCCTCTGTCCTGCAGACTGCAGGGCCTACCTTGGTACTTGTTTTTACAGGTGGGCTTCAGGGACCCTCAGCTCCAGATGACCCTCTCTGTTTCCCCGTCCTTCAGCAGAACTGTTTCCAGGGACCCCAATAATGGAGTGGGGGTCCTTCCAGCTTTTCCTAATTTGTAAATTATCCTGTTTGGCCATCTGGGTAACTGAACTGCACCCTATGGCCTCTAGGTGCTTGCCCGGTTTCCAGCTCCAGGAAGATACGTGATGGGTGATGACAGTTGCTAGGACATAGGGTGACACAGAAATCTGAAGTTTGATTTAAGGTGTCCAAAACTGTCTAGAAAATGCTTTTTTCAATTTTAAGAGACTCTAGGGAAGAAGAAGATAGAGGCTTTCTCGCGACAAAGTCAGGAATTCCAAGGCAGACCAAGTGGCAATGACTCACTCAGAGGGCCTCAGCAATTCAGGGGAGGAAGACCAGAGGTTAGTCAGAGAAGGCTGCCTGGAGGAGGTGAGACTGGAAGGAAAAGTGGGAGGGGCCAGAGTTGTAAAGAGGTGGAGGTGAAGGCATTCTGGGCAGAGGGGATACTGGGCACACATGGCACATACCTAGGCCTTGAGCGGCCAAGGCTGCCTGGAGTAATGGGGTCAGAGGGTGGCCGAGCTGTGAGGATCAACTGGCTGAGGGTAGCCTGAGAGTTAGCCTCTGGGCGTGCACGTGTGTGTAGTAGAGAGATGGGGAACGAACTCTAGTGAGCTAGAGGGATGTGTCAGATAAATAACAGTAACAATATAGCTATGGCAGGTGTGGTGCTAAGTGGCTTCCTAATATCTCATCTAATCCCAACACTTTTTGAGGTAAGTACTATTATCCCCTTCTACGAATAAACAATTGAAGCCAAGTTAAGTGACAGTGAGGGCTGACCTTAGATTCCAACATGACAGTCTGGCTCCAAAACTCTTAAGTACTGGATGGAAGGAGGTGGGTGGGGGTGAGTGGTATGCACAGCATACAAGTGAGTGAGTGCAATTGTGTGTGTGTGTGGGGGGGTACCATTTCCTCACACGTCTGTCCCCCAACCCTAGCTCCACCTCAGGACAGACCCAGCCCAGACAAGTGTGAAGAGAGGACCTTGGAATGATAAGAATTTCCATGCCTGTTGGAGCAGATAGCCCCAGACGAGAGTCTGGCCACAAGGCCAGTCAAAGAGCCAAGTTCCCAGAGTCAACATTGTCCCCACCCCATCCCTACCCCGTGCTGGCACATCCCCAAGGGCTCAGGAATGGTGTCTCAACTTGACCCTGGTATTCCTTGCTTTGCTGATCCCACTTTCTTCTCAGCTTCTGATGCATACGAACAGCTGGGAGTGGGGAAAGGTGACAAGCGAGGGCTTCCCCAAGTCATCCTCGCTCGACTATGTCACTGGTGGTGGAGACAGGTCCCTGCAGCTCCCTGGGCCTTGGTTTCTCCACTTCTGTCAGGAGGTAGATTGAACTTAATCAGGAATCATAAACTAAGAAATAGGAGGCCTAGGAGAATAATGCAAATAAACAAAATGATGTGCACGCATGTGTGTGTGTGTGTGTGTGTGTGTGTGTAGTGGTGGTGACAGTGGAGACCTGGGCAGCAATCCCCAGACCAGGTGATCTCAACCATCCCTCCCTGCTTCACCTGGTGGGGGTCTTTCTGGACCTCTGCTGTGGGGCACCAGGACTCTGAGCCTCAGTTTCTTTAGCTAGAAGGTAGGATGTGTAATGCCTACCCCATAGCCCACGCGAGTGGTGAGAATGAACTAGAATAATTGATGGGAATCTTGTGGAACAATCCCACCTCTTTTTTTAAAAAAAAATTTTTTTTGAATAATGTAATCTTTTGATTTGAGTGCCATTAAAAGTATTTAGCTCCAGATGATCGAGTGAAGAAAACTGAAGAATCAGGAAGTCAGATGGTGAAGGAGTGGATGAGAAATGGTCTGGGATGAGGGCAAGATCAGGGCAGAGCTGCTCTGAGTAGCAGCTGAGAGGTTCGAGAAAGTTCATCCAGAGATGGCCCTTGGCACTCGTCCCCCTGATTGCCAGGCTTGAACTGGCCCAGCCCTGCCCTTCTTCAGAAGACTTTGAGCTGGCTGTTGTCACTTCATTTAGAAACCACACCATGCTTGTGTGTGTTTTCTTTACCAGGTTGTAATTGGTGCATCACAATGAACGCTGTAAAAAGGGAAATTAAACGATTTACATTTGTTTGCCAAACCCACGATCTTCTCTGTGTGAGGGTTCTGCAGATCTTTCATCTCCCCATCCCTGTTCTCTAGGTCAAGTTCGACCTTCCAGCAACTTGGAAGAATGTGGACCTGGGGCCTGACACTGTGCTTAGCTCAGCTCCGAGCTTTTGCAAGCTGAGGGGATCCTCGCAGGTTGCCTGAACCTCCATTTTCTCATCTTTAAAATGAGGGTGAAAAATCTCAACTGTGACTACTTCTCAGGTCTGCTGTGAGTTCCCCAGGAATTGGTCTACAGAATGGGAAAATGCTTTATTTAAAACAAAACAAAACAAAACAAAACAAAAATAAAAAAACACAGGAAAAGTGCTGCACATGAAATAGATTGTGTTAGAGGAGGCTTTGGCCCTGTGGCAGCTCCTGGGAGTAATGGATGGTAGAGGGAAGGTGTGACACACATCTTTAGATTTTGCCTGAAACAGGAAACCTGGCCCCAGAGATGGGACGCTTTGAAAACCAGCTGTAAGTGCTCTTCGAACAGCAAAAGCAGCAATGACGGTGGGTGCACAAGGGACGGGGGGAAGGGAACTCTGTGGAAACAAGAGGAGGGGACACAGAGCCAGGTGGTCCTTGCACGATTTGGGGACTCATGGACCCTGGGCACTGGGAGGTAGAGTAAAATAAATAGTGACAGGAACTTAGTCTTTTAGTTGTATGAACCTGGATTTCCCACCTTCTCTTCCACTTCTGTCTGGGTGACCTGGGGGAAGTAGCTTCACCTCTCTGAGCTTCATGTTCTCTAGGTTGCTGAGTAACAAACAGAAAGCAGGTGGCATGCACCAAAGTAATCAATTGCTATTATCTGCTCCTGTCTCCCACCTCAGACAGTCTTGGGCTGGTTTCCAGAACATTTTACATCCACTGTCCATCAGAAGCATGGAAAACCTGCCCATTTCACAGATTTTCTCTCTCTCTCTCTTCTTTTTTTTTTTTTTTTTTACAACATAAACATCTTGGCCCTCTACATTTTTTGATATCTACGTGACCTCCCTAGGTTTTTGTTTTTGTCACCCTGGATCTTTTTAACATATTGCTCTGTAAAGTGCTTAAAGAAAAATAATAAATACGCTTGTATATCAATTCATCTAAGGAGAGAGAGATGGACAGACAGAGAGAAAGAGAGAGAGGAAACTGTTACACTATGTGGTCAATGCTGTAATTACGGTGACCGTGTTCTCCAAACCACAAATCAGGTCACATGGTCTGACAGAGGCTATTTTCTGCCTCCACTGAAGTCCAACATAAAATCACATGTAGTTACACATTCATTGAATCACCTTTTACTTTTTTAAAGACTCAAATGACATGAAATTTAGATTGTCCTTGACAAATCCCACTATAGTCCTGGATAATCTCTAGAGCCCTGACTGGGGCCTAGACAAAGCCCTGATAGGATCAGGAAGACTTCCCAGAGGAGGTGCTGCTTATGTGAGGCCTTGAAGGCTGGATAGGAGGTCTTCAGGCAGAGAGAGTGTGGGTGGCCTGAATGCTTGGGAGAGAACCTACCCTTCCTCCTCTAAAGACATCCCTGCTGGGAACTGGGGATGCGGCTAAAATAGGCAACAGTGTCTGTTTTCAGTTACTTTTCACTTTCATTATTCCAAAGACCTCCTGGGAAACAAAATTGTTATATGCCAGTGTACCAACATGGTTACATTGCATTGTATTTTCTGATGTATTTATATGTCTGTCTCTACAGTAGACTACATTCCTGGAGGACAGGGGCTACAACTGTCCTGTTCATCTCTGTGTCCCCTGGCCCCAGGATGGAGTGAGGAAGACTATAGGAGAGGTACTAATCAATGTCAAATGAATAAATGAAAGAAGTACTATTGTTGGGCATCTTGTAGGGATATAAAAAGGAATGACCTCTGTTTTGTGATGAATCTATCGGCTTTTATTTCATCTGTTTAGTCACCCAATATGTGCGGGTTGCTTACCCTGTGTCTGGCGCTGTGTGGGGCACTGAGATAAATGTGGTCCTGCCCACACAGAGCTTATGCTCTACAGAAAGACAGGCAACCGACAAGTAACTACAAGGGTGATGAAGAGGGAGCTGTGACACGTAGACCAGGAAGCGTGGTCTGGTTTAAGGGTATGATGAAAGCACCACGAGGAAATGAAATTTAACTTGATACTAAAAGGATCACAATCATGTAGCTAACATTTATACAGTGCCTTTATCATGTGACAGACACCACACCGAGGGCTTTACATATTTAACTCATTTAATTCTCACAACAGCCTTATGAAGTGCGTGCTATCATTATTCCTACTTTAGAGATGAGGAAACTGAGCACAAAAAAAGGTGGAAAAACTGGCCCCCAAGGTCAGACAGCTTGTATGGCAGTGCCAGCTTTCAAACACAGGTAGTCTGGTTTGAGTCCACTCTCTTTATTCAGGTAAAGGGGAGGTGGGCTGTACCATTTAGGACGAGAGATGAGGTTGAAAAACAAGGCAGGGAATTTATCCAGAGCGGTGGGAAGCCACTGGTGGTTTTAAGTAAGAAATGAGCATGATGAAGTGGTATTAGACGGGGCAAAGTGGGAGGGAGAGAGAGTAGTTAGGAGGCCATTAAAATAAGATCAGCATTAAGACAAGATGGTAGCTTGGACTAGGCAGTAGTCAGGAAGAAGAATCGAGGTTGAGTTCGAGAGAAAACTGGAAGTGGAACCAATGGGACTGGCTCATGGATGGGATGTGGGGACGAGGGGCTGGTATCCGATATCTGGACTGGAAAGGTGAATTGGGCACACAGGAAGGGGGCGGAAAGCAGGTTTAGGTAGAAGATGAGTTCTGCCTTTGACTTGGGGAGCTGGATAAAGGTGCCCTTGGGATAGCCAAAGGGAGTGTCAGGAGGGCTGTGGGGAGACCATCTGGGGCTGAGGAGAGGGTCTGGGCATGGGGAATTGTCAGCACAAAGAAGGTCTCCAGCGCTCTGGGAGACGTGGGTAAGTCCTGAGCGGGTGGAGGAGCAGGACATTTCCACGGTCTTCCTCAGAACCTCCCAGGGTGCAGTTAGAAATGCAAGTCCTCTGCTTCACCTAGACCCACGAAGACCAATTCCCTGGGTGAGGTCTGGGCCTAGCCTCCTTACAAGATTTCTGGGTGAGTGAGCTGGAGGGCCTTTGGTTCCCCTTGGTGAACAGCAACTCTGAAGACTTCAAAAGAATAGGAAGAGCTGTTAGTGACGAGGAGTCACCCCAGCTCACAGATGCCCCCTAAATGCAGTGGATCCACAACTCCATTGGCAAAATACGGCTTCTCACTCAGCGCAGGTGGCCTCTGTTCCCCTCTGCCCTGCCAGTGTGGCTCTTAGCAGTTCCTTCATCCAGTTACAGGCTTCTCACTCCACCAGGCCCTTAGGTAATGTCCAATCCATGGGGCCCCTCACACAAGGTCACCCATAATCTGCTCCTAACCCTCCTCTCCAGTTTTCATGCTCATTCTTTCCTTCCTGCTTCCTCTAGTCTTCTCCCCCTGCCCCCTGCCGCCTCCTGCTTATGTAACACTCAGCTTTTCCTAAGTGCTTTCCATGTGGTTTTTGCTAGGTTGTCCCTTGTGCTGAGAATGTCCATCTCCCCTCCCCGATCCCACCCATCCTCTTAATCCTGCTCAGAGGCTGCCTCCCCCAAAAGCTCCCTCATTCTGCTTCCCACTTATTGTGGGCCATAACGCTTGCCCTGGATGTCCCCAACAGGCTTCAGGTCCACTAGCCTCTGGACACAAGGCGGGACAGACATACAGATCATCTCAGCTGTCTTTCATCTCTGCATCTCCTTACCAGAAGCACAGTGCCTGGCACAGAAAAGATGCCTACAGGGCCACATGTGGATGGAAATGGTCTTCTATAGCAGGGATTCGCATGAGTGAGATTCTAGGGGCTTCTTTAACCTGCTCAAGACCCAGACTATCTTCAAGGATCTGAGGTCGTTGACCACGAGAACATAGATAATACTGGAGAATTTGCTGGTGGATGCTGATTTCCCTGGCCACCCTGGAGGCGTGGCTGGAGTATGTACTAGGAAGTCACAAGCCTATCTTTGAATATGGCCTGCAGCTTAGGCTTGTGGCCATCACCATTAGACTCAGTCCTGTCTGATTACATTCCATCCAGAGCTATCACATGTCTAGGAGTCAGAAGCCTGGTTGCATCCCCCAGCATCTCAGCCCCCAGTGAGGGGCCTGGCTGAACACCATTCTTCCCCAGCACAAGGAGATAACTCTTTGGGGGAACCAGGATGAGTCTATTCTACTCTCGTGGTCAAGCTTGGCTTCGCTACCTCCCTTTGCTCTGCTCTGGTTGCTCATATGTTTTTGAGCTTTGCTGAAAGATAATCTGAAGCCTCTGAAGGTCCTTAGGAAATGCACTGTTTTCCAAATTTGCCCCAGCCTCACCCCAAGCCCAGGGAATCAGGATCTCCAGGAGAGGGGCCTGATGATCTGCATATGAGCAAGCTCCTTAAGGCTCAGTAGTCAAATCCACACACCCCGCACCCATTTACAGTCTGGCTCATGGATGATGGCAAAAGCCCCTGTTGGAGCAGTCAGATCTGGGTGCAGGCTGGGGCTCTCGGCTATGTATGACACTCCCAGAAATCATCTCTCTCTGGGCCTTGTCGTCTCCATCTGTCTGATGAGGAAGGGCACTGTAACCTTGCCTAACTTGCAGGGTCCTTGAGACGGTAGAAATAACACTGAGGGTGGGAAACTGAGGCTCAGTGGGAGAAGAGATTGATTTGCACAAGGTCATCCACCTCTTCATCTGCCTGTTATATGCCAGGCTCTGGGGAATTCAGCTGGGAACAGCTTGTTGGGGGGGATGACATTCTAGTAAACGATGAAACCAGTAAATGAACCAGATAATCACGATAAAGGAAAAAAGGGACTTTCCAGAGTTAGGGCAAAGGTGGGGAGGAACCCCCTCCCCGCTCCCACCCCCAAGGCCTGCCCGGGAGGGGTCACTCCTGCGGAGATCTGGATGTCAGAGGGCCGG